TGCTGAGTAATGAGTAGTTTCCCAGGTAAGCAGAAGCAGCCCTCAAAACAATCATAATATGACACAGTAACAATAGGGCTGCTTTTTGAAGGTTCTAGAAACCCAAGACATGTATTTCAAGAGCCAAATTACTTATTTTTTCTTTTATCACTTATCCTCAAGTTCTATAAGTTACTTCTATTGTATCAATTCAAATATTTGGTTATTAGATGTCTAGTTTTTAAAGGCAGACAAGATAAAATTGTGTAAATTTACAAGTAATGGCAACTGATAATAATGCTTAAAGGAGTTATTAAAGCAACAGCTTACTACCAAACCTAGGCTTCTGAAAAATTTGCACAGGTGGGAAAAGATAGGGGGCAAAACTCTTAGCATATTTTAACAAAATGTGCCAGGGAAAAGGTCTTTATTCTGAGAGTATAACCATCTTACTTTAGGGGTATTAAAATTACCTTTTATGAGATAATTTTCAATTTTTAAGATGTTATTAGCAAAATTAAAAGTTGGTCATTTCAGTTTAGTCTCCTCATTTTTAGTAAATTTACCTCCTGTGAAACCTAAGTTATGGGAACCACTAGAACACCTGTGAAAACATGTTGCTGTGAGGTACAGTGAATGATTTTACAAAAAGAAAAGTAATTCATGACCACAGACCAGGATATCCGAAGTTTTGGTGAGATGGATTTTGTTGTTGTTGTTGTTGTTTTGTTTTTTACAAAGTCTTACGACTAACTGTGGAAAAATAATTGGTTAATCTGACAGTGAGTACCCTTAAAAGTACTGAAGAAAAGGTATCCAAAAAAATACCCAGCATTAGAGAAGTGAGAGAACACTATATTTATCCCCCACCAACATGAGGAAAGAACAATTTTGGAACATATGCCTTGTAAAACTTCTCAAAATCCACAACTACATTTCTAAGTCTAAAATATATGCTGCTGGTCACAAGGAAGTTACAATCATATAATTGAACCTACTGACATTACATGTAATAATTAAAAACCCAAGTACCATGCTTACTGTAGTGTCTGGTACATATAAGTGCTCAATAACCATTAGTTTTATTACTAGGATTACCTCTGTCTGCCTCTTGTACCTTCTTATAAAAAGAAAGCAAAGTGAACGGAATGAATTATGTCTTAAATAGACTGAAGAAAAGCTTCTGTATTTGTCTTTTCTGAACTAAGCAATTTCCATAGTGCCTAGCAAGGTATCAGAAATGAACTCAATGAACGAAATTAAACGATAACTCTTTAAGACAGAAAGGATTCCCTACCGAGCCCAGCATAGGCAGACTATGTTACCCAGCCTGGCCTTGAACTCCTGGGCTCCTGTGCTGCAGCCATCCTCCCACCTCAATCTTCCCAGTAGTTGGGACTACAGGTGTGTGCCATGGCACCTGGCTAAGGCTAGCTATTATGAGTAGTAATATAAGATGAAATTAAAAAGACTACTAATAGTAGGATTTAAAATTACAAGTGTTTTAAAGATTCTCCAGTACGTTTATTTTACAAAATTTTTGTACAGTTGACCCTTACACATGGGTTTGAACTGGGTGGGTACACTTATGCACATAGTTTTTTCAATCAAAAGCAGGTGAGGTCACACAGATCAGTGTTTGTGCTTGGAATGTGAAACTTGTGTAAGGAGGGTCAATTGGAGGGCCAACTTTTCTACATATGGGTTTTGCAAGACTTATTGCAGGGCTTGAGTATGGGCAGATTTTGGTGTATATGTGGCCCTGGAATCAATCCCCAGCATATACCAAGGGATGACTGTATTTTAATGGTTTATAATGTTAAAAAGAGAAAAATGCGTAAGCACAATTTTCAACACTTAACTATTTATCATATTAATACGATTTCAGTTATGCCTTAGGTTTATTACCAACTGATCTTCAAACTGCAGCAGCCCATAAGTTTGGTTGTAAGTGTTCTTGCCATTCCAACCCAGCTGTCACTGAGTCAAATAGTTTAAAATATACACACAGACACAAGCCTTTTGTAAACAAATCTTTTATACTGTAAATAACTGTTCCTCAATGGAACTTTTTATATCCAGTTTACTTCTTCTCTAAAGTCTAAAGTTGGGATATTCATATTAAATATACAACAATCTCTATAAAGCAAAGAGTCTACCTCTGTGAAAATACAAGTAATTCTTTTTTGAGACAGTGTCTCACTCTGTCGCCCAGGCTGGAGTGCAGTGGCACAATCTCAGCTCACTGAAATCTCTGCCTTCTGGGTTCAAGCAATTCTCCTGCCTCAGCCTCCCGAGTAGCAGAGACCACAGGGGCCTGCCACCACACCCAGCTAATTTTTTTGTATTTTTAGTAGAGACAAGGTTTCACCATGTTGGCCAGGATGGTCTCGATCTCCTGACCTTGTGATCTGCCCACCTCGGCCCGCTGGGATCACAGGCATGAGCCACCGCACCCGACCAAAAACACAAGTAATTCCTGACGGCAATATTGTTCTTTACATAATTCATCTAAACACAATGAAGTGTGGAAGGCCAAAAGGAGAAAAAAACACTTCAGATTATCAAAACCAAAAGAGATGTGAAAAAATAATACATTTAACAAAGTAGGGGGTGGGAATTTAAATACAAGATCCTGTTGAAAATATTGATATTCAAAGAAACACATAGCTTTGGTTCCATAGCCACAAGTTAGGTTTTCCTAAATTAAAATTAGAAGTGATTTTATTCTTGGAAGATACATTAATTCTTTGAAGTCAGAATAAAAGGCTTGACAATTTAATTTCTATATATGACTGAATATTCAAAGGATCAAATACAAACAGAAGAGCAGCAAGAAAACAAATTGGAAGAAATAATTGTTCAACCAGTAGTAATAATTAAGACCACCATTTAAAAATTTTCTATACACAAAGAATGAGAAAATATTGAAAAGATTTTATACAATTAATTCAATCCCAATTTATTATTATTATACTTCTTTCTTCTTCAGTATTAGTGGACCCACATTATCTCCTGTCAATTCATTGTGTTTATTATGTGAACCATCACAGGCAGGAAACTAAAAAGAGAAAAGAATTATGAGTGTTAAAAATATGATTAGGTAGAAACATTTGTGAAATGCTCTCAGAAAGAAAGCACATCACATGCTAAAAAAAGAAAATCAGATTGCTTTCCTGAGTAATAGATATATTCTACATCCAACTGACCACATTCAAAATCTAACAATTTAAACAGTTCATTATTTGGTTTAGATTTTAAATAAAAACCTATGACTGATTCCATATGAGTGACTAAAATAGACGAAGGTTTAAAAGAAAATCAAGTAAGTTCTTGGTCATTTGTGGAGCTTAAAATTCAAGCTCACCTCTTGCTTAATTTTAAAAGAATGGAATTTAATTCATAAATAACTTATAATTTTTTATTGCTTTAAAACTCATGCATACCACACAATCTTTGAAACAATTAAAAATATTTTTTAGGCTGGGAATGGTGACTCACATCTGCAATACCAACACTTTGGGAAGTGGAGGTGGACAAATCACTTGAAGTCAGGAGTTCAAGACCACCCTGGCCAACATGGTAAAACCCCATTTCTACTAAAAATACAAAAATTAGCCGGGCATGGTGGCGCATGCCTGTGTCTCAGCTACTTGGGAGGCTGAGGTGGGAGAATGCTTGAACCCAGGAAGTGGAAGTTGTAGTAAGCCAAGGTCATGCCATAGCACTCCAGCCTGAGTGACAAAGCAAGACTCTGTCCCCAGCAAAAACAAATAATAATAATAAATTTAAAATAATTCACTCATAACCCATCAAAATATAGGTAATAATTAACATTTTGGTATTTTTTTTCCTCTGCATTCACTATGTGTATTCATGTTTTAAACAAAATTGGGATCTTACTGTAATATGCTTTCTTACTTGTGTTATATCAGGATCTCATGTTATTATATTAACATGATCATTCCTATTTTATCAGATATTTAGTTTATAAAAATTTTGCTATCACAAAGGATGCTGTGAAAAACAACAAACCTCAAATAGACTGATGTACTTAAAACCTCAAATAGGGCTGGGCACGGTGGCTCACACCTGTAATCCCAGCACTTTGGGAAGCCGAGGTGGGTGCATCACCTGAGGTTGGGAGTTTGAAACCAGCCTGACCAACATGGAGAAACCCCATTTCTACTAAAAATACAAAATTAGCTGGGCGTGGTGGCGCGTGCCTGTAATCCCAGCTACCTGAGAAGCTGAGGTACAAGAATCACTTGAACCCAGCGGGTGGAGGTTGCAGTGAGCCGGGATCGCCTCATTGCACTCTAGCCTGGGCAACAAGAGTGAAACTCCATCTCAAAAAACAAAACAAAACAAAACCTCAAATAATCTATGATCAAGTACAAGAAAACAGATTTTTGTCAACTATTTATAGTACCTATCACTCTAAACTCCTTCCCACATTAAATATCATCTATAAATCATCTTACTTCTCAAAAACATATAATGTTACATCAGATTAAAACAAACCCTGAAGATTAGAGATTAAAAATTAAGTAACTTGTCCAACCAAACCCATACTGTGACAAGTATCATATTTGAACACTATTTACTGACATCAAAGCTCTTTTCCACTAAACCTTACGTCCTCTCTCAAAGAATGTGTATTTTAAAATACATGTTACTCTAGATAAATGCCAAACATTGCAAAAGCATGAGATTTTTATTCTTCTTTGCTGCTCCAAATTTCCTAATGTAGGTAGTTATCTATCATGCAATAAAACTTCCATTTAGGAATATGGTCTTTCAATACCAAATATTACAGAAAAGTCTCTCATCTTACAGAACTTCAAAACTGGGGATTTAAGAGGCAAAACAATCCTACCACTGCAAAATTTCAGTGTGCATATAAACAGATATCTTACCGTCTTAGAACGCCAACACCTACAATAAGCTGCTTTGGTAAGACACAGATCTTCAATGTTTATTTCATTCACTACTTTCGGATTTTCCTTTTGTATTTTAAGATTAATCAAGCTATCCTTCTGTTGTTTTTTCTTCGGGAGGAATGGACGAACTGCAAGGTAGCCAAGAAGTGCAAGTACACCAAGGAAAGGCAATAACCGAAGCCATTCTGAAACTAAACATGTAGATTTGTCAGAATCTGTAGTGCTTTTGGAAAATAACTCAAAATAGCATGCCTAGATTCATTCTTGAGCTTATTCTTTATATGTTACTTTTCACATTAATTCCTTTTTAATGGATTCATAAAACTGTGAATAAACAACACAATCAAGCCAGCTCTACCAAGGACCACCTTATTTTATTTATGGGCTAATTTGAGACCCGTAAAACTAGAAACCTAACTTTTCAGAAACAGGTTCCATTTCAAATATTCTCTCATTGTCCACATCAAGTCTATTTGTGTGTCTATTTTTATTTTAGGAATTATGATTATGATAATTATAAATAAAATTCAATATATATTTTATAGATCTAGAAAGCATTTCAACTCACATCTCCTTAATACTATGTCTAAAATCATACAACAGAATATCTGCAAAATTTTTACCACTGATTCATAATATCAGACAGAATATGTCCTTTGATGCTTTAAGGTACATTTTTGGTAAATGTTGCTAAAGAGCACTAAAATGTTGTGTAAAAGCTACTGTTTTAAAGAATACATTGAAACTGTCTATGTTGAATGTTCTCATTTTAACATACATCTCATTCCATAAACTTCACTTAAAGCCTTTTGGAGTACCCAGCCTGTCTTAAGAGGACAGGGAATATAAATGATATAAATGAAATAGTTGCTATGCCTGTGGAGACAAACATACCAGGAAACCAAGATAAATGTTTCAACGCACATTTATCAAATGTCTGCTAGCGCCCTGCCTCTGCTGGGCTCCCTTCTGTTCTTGAATTCTCAGTTAACTTCCCTCACTGAATGCCTAATCTGAATTCTCAGTTAACTTCCCTCACTTGAATTCTCAGTTAACTTCCCTCACTGAATGCCTAATCTGATACCTTGCTAGGCACTATTCAGAAATTGCTTAGTTGAGAAAAGAGAAAAACAGGAAGTACACTAACGCATGCTAATAAATATTAAAGATAAATGATCAGATTATGCTAAGAGTATAATGGCACTAGCTCATTTAACACTATGTTATCTTAACAACTACATTTGGTAGGCATCATTATTATCCCCATTTTACATACAAGAAAACTGTAGCCTAAGCAGGTTTAGTCCAGGACAGCTTAAATCCAAAGCCTGTTGTCAGTTAAAGCCTGTTGTCAGACATCATTAATCAAACCCAATAGATCTAAAATTAAAATCTGTTCCTCTCTTGGTAAAACTACTCTTAAGAAATAACTGTACTATTTTACTATTGAAAGACTTAATACCAACTCTTCCAAAATGGAATTATTTTTGATATAACATCATGCCAAAGAAATCTAAATGAAAAAAACCTACTTACCTACCATTTGCATAGATAGCACCTATAAGAGTGGCTGGCAGAGAAAACACAATAAATGGTAGCTTTTATTCAGAGATTATAGAGATTGGTGAGGAAGTACTAGCAACTCCTTTGAAAACAATATTTTGCCCAACAACTTGATAATGCTATATGGTGAAAATCTTCAGCAATATAATCTTGGTGTTACCAGAATAAAACTCTGTAAAAGTATGTACTTTGCCTGTCATGTTGGCTATCACATTCTCATAACTAAAGTGGAGATACTCCAAATAGATTATTTGAGTGAATTAAAGCTCTAGAAATGCTGGGGGAGAAGGAGGCCTATGTATAGATCTGTGCTACTCGATATGGGACCAATAGCCATACTGTTTAGATGTGTACCCAAGAATTTCTATTAATCCAGTATGGTAGGATGACAGACTTGTAGAAACTGCCTTGAAATAACAGTTTATTACTTATAGTTACCAAGAGAAAGAGATACACTATGCAATGCAGGGCCACATGAGGAGGTACTAGGGTTAATCAGAAGGAAGAAAGAGGAAAGGGAAAAGCATGGGCATAGGCTTTTATTGTGGTTTCCATGGAAAAGGTAAGGCAATAAAGGGTTTAGGACTTCTAGCTTATTGGGTTCTGGGCAAAAGCGTGGTCCCTAGTTGTCTCCTAACTGTCCTTGGGGTGATTTAGGACAGGGGAACTACTGACTTCATGTGTAAGAGTTAGATAAAGGAGGTGGTTAGGGGCATGGGCTTTGGACTGGTTGGTTTGCATACGAAAGGCATGCTCACAGGCAAGTAATTTAATATCTCTAGGAATTAAATTGTCTCCCCAGTCAACAAGGCCCCTAAGATGTTAAATAAAGCGTCATAAAATACAGAAAATTGAAAACATGGTTAATATACACATGTGGCTATTTACATGTAAATTAAAAAATGCTGTTTCTAAGACACACTGGTCACCTTTCAGAGGCTCAATAGCTACATGCCACTGCTACCATATTCAACAGTACAGAGAACATTTCCATTAATACAAAGTTTTACTGGACAGTGCTGCTGTAGATCATTGGTCTATAACGTGCCATCTCCACAGATAGGCAAGGCTACCCTTTCCAGCTTCAGCTCCCACCAACATGGTCTTCTCATGTACCTGAAGCCAGTCAAAGCTACTGTCTAGTAAGCAGCCTTCCTGAGTTCTTTGCACATGAAGTTCCTTCTGTTTTACCTAATTTGTATAGACCCTTCAGGACTCGGGTCAAATATTACTTCCTCCTGAAGTCTTCCTCAATTTCGCAAAGCAGAATTAATCACTTCCTCCTGTGTTTCCAAGCTGCATTCCTCATGTTTCTGCTACCATACTACTGCAATTACTTGTTTCTGAAGTTGTCTCTTCTATAAACCTGTGAGAAAAGAAATTGTACTCTACTCTTCCCAGCACAAAGTAGATGCCTCATATGTTTACTGACTGACTTACAGAAAGAATGAACGAGCACAAATGTCACTCACTTTCTCACTGTCCTATAATTTGTATTTATACTTATCTTCTAGATCAGGCAATGAATGTCTTAGTTTGCAATTGGCCCCAGCAACCAGTATGTAACTTGAAATAGCAGTCATTTAATAAATGTTTGTTCAGTGTAGAATAACATTAAGTTTTATTGTACATATTACAATATTTTAGAATGACAAGAGCTTAAATTTATCAAAAAGCAAGAGAATGGGAATGTAAAGATGAAAACTTTAACTTTATTTATTTATTTTTGTGACAAGGTTTCACTCCCATTGCCCAGGCTGGAATGCAGTGGCACACTCTTGGCTCACTGCAACCTCCCCCTTCCTGGGCTCAAGCTATCCTCCTGCCTTAGCCTCCCGAGCAACTGAAACTACAGGAGTGCACCACAACACCTGGCTAATTTTTGTATTTTTAGTAGAGATAGGGTTTCACCATGTTGACCAGGCTGGTCTAGAACTCCTGACCTCAAGTGATCCGCCTCCCTCAGTCTCTGAAAGTCCTGGGATTACAAACGTGAGCCACTGTGTCTGGCTGAAAATCTTAACTTTAGACTCTTAAAACAGCATTTCCTAACTTAACTCACAAATCTCAAGAACAAATAGCATTAATACTGCTTTAAAATCCACTTCAGAAAATATTCTTTTGAACACTTAATTCCTTGGTAAAACATTACACTTAAAAATACAGCAATGAGAGGTACTATTACCTCCTATAAAAAGTAGTAACTTACCAAAGTCTTAACATAATCTGCTTTTTAAAGATAACTACAATGTAACTACTGAAAAACTTTATAAATGAAAGCAATACAGCTTGAAAAACTCGATTCAAAGGACTCTGTACATATTTATGGGGTACATGTGATATTTTGATATATGCATATGATGTTAAAATCAGTGTAACTGGGATATTCATCACCTCAAACACTTACCATTTCTGTACATTGAGAACATTCCAAATTTTCTCTTCTAGCTATTTGGAAATAGCTAAATTATTGATAACAACAGTCACCCCATTACGCTACTAAACACTAGAACTTGTCCTATAAAACTATACTATAGTGCCTATTAAGCAACCTCTCTTCATTCTCTCCTCCCTGGCCTCTGGTTACTAGCATTTGACTCTCTATCTCCATGAGATCAACTTTATTAGCTCCCAGATATGAATAAGTACATAGAATATTTCTCTTTCTGTGAATTAAGGCTGATTTTACATGAAGAAAGATAAAATACAGAAGAATCGAACAAGAAACTTTTAAACATTTGAAACATGCTAGTCCCTGAGGACTAGCATGTTTCATATATATTCACCTATTACAGATATTTTAGACACTTCGAAAGAACACATTACAAACTATAAATAATGTGCAAAATAATTGATTTTTTTTTTTTTGAGAGAGTCTTGATCTGTCACATAGGCTGGAGTGCAGTGGCACAATCTCAGCTCACAGCAACCTCCACCTCTAATGTTCAAGCGATTCATTCTCGTGCCTCAGTGACCTCCTGAGTAGCCAAGATTACAGGCGTCTACCACCATGCCCAGCTAATTTTTGTATTTTAGTAGATACAGGATTTCACCTTGTTGGTCAGGCTGATCTCAAACTCCTGACCTCAGGTGATCTGCCCACCTCGGCCTCCCAAAGTGCTGGGATTACAGGTGTGAGCTACTGTGCCTGGCAAAATAAAATAATTTAAAATAATGTTCTGGGCTTTTTTTTTTTTTTTTTTTTTTTGAGACAGTCTCACTCTGTTACCCAGGCAGGAGTGCAGTGGCATGATCTTGGCTCACTGCAACTTCAGCCTCCTAGATTCAAGCGATTCTTGTGCCTCAGCCATCCAAGTAGCTGGGATTACAGTTGTGTACCACCACACCCAGCAAATTTTTGTATAAAATAATGTATTTTATTCAGCATATTTTTGTCTTAGGATTTTAACATTTATTTATTTATTTGGTAAATTTATGTCTTTTTTGGTGTATAAATACATAGGCTACAAATGCTTAACAAAATAAGGCTCTACTGTATTTTTTACCTAATGGGATGTCAGATTATTATATTATTTCCCCAACTCCTTAATATCATTTGGAAACATAAACTTTAATGGCAACATCTACCTATCATGTTCCCCAGTCATAACATAAGAGATACAAGGGGGCTG